ATCTTTGTCATGATGACAGTAAATAATATTTGACTAGATATTTTTCAGGATACTAATATTCGGCTTAAAGTGACATTAACTGGGTGAATTAGGTTAACTAGGCAGGTTAGGGTAATTAGGTAAGTTATTGTACAATGATGGTTTGGTCTGTAGACTTTTAGAAAAAAAAAATAGTTTTAAGGGGCTAATAATTTTGACCTTTTAAAATGGATTTTAAAAATGTAAAACTGCTTTTAATCTAGCCGAAATAAAATAAGACTTTTTCTTGAAGAAAAAATATTATCAGACATACTGTGAAAATTTACTTGCTTTGTTAAACAGCATTTGGGGATTATTTAAAAAAAAGAAAAATATATTATTCATTGTGGATTTCACAGAAAGCCAAGCTTTGTTTCATTGAAAAGAAAAAAAAATCTTAGAAGTTCATCCTTCAGTTTCATTTTTACTTAACTTTTAAAGCGAACTTTAGTGTTGTTTTAGGAAAAGGCCACATTTAAGCATCTTTCTCTCAGACTGTATATTGGCACACATAAGGAACCCTCGCTGCTGGAGTGAGGAGAAGCACAGGCCGTGTTTCCTCTGCTCGTCCCTCTGAAAACATCCTGAATGTGCTGCGTTCATGAGGTTTCACCCCTGGATGAGCTTGTTTATGTGTGTGTGAGTCCTGAGCTTCACCTGTTTGTCTGCGGAGGTGGACAGTTTTTTTTTTTTTAATGTTCGGGCAGGACTGGAATGTCTAACATCGCGTTACCAATAGTCCATATATTTGACTTGAGGAAATAAACCATTTCTCCACAGCTTTAAATACAAATGTATGCTGGAGGCTGAGAAGAAACAGAGCACATTGAAAAGTTTCTACATCCAAGAAAAGGCAAAAATCTGCCTCTTGACTGCTGCCTTTACATCAGTATGATTCATTCATTCATTCATTCATTCATTCATTCGTTTTCCTTCAGATTAGTCTCTTTTTTTTATATCAGGGATCGCCACTGCAGAATGAACCACCAGCCATTCTAGCATATGTTTTACACTGCGGATGCACTTCCAGCCGCAACCCAGTACTGAAAAATACCCATATATTCACACACTCATACAGCCAATTTAGTTACAGGAGTTGTCACTGGGGCAGTACCTTTTCAAAAGGCATATATTTGTACCTGAAAGGTCCAAAATGGTGCCTCAAAGGTACTTTTAGGTACATTTTGGTACTAACATACACCTTTTACACTGAAAAAAAGTGTTGCATGCAAAACTGTTGCAAACAATTTATTTGTGTTGAATTCAAACAAACAAATTAAATTCAATAATGTTCAACTTAATTTGTTTGTTTAAATTCAACACAATTAGATTGTTTCCAACCACTTAACGAAAAAAAATTGAGTAAATCCAAGGAATCATCTTTGAATATTTTTTTTCAGTGTAGGTACAACTGTGGACTATTTGGGTACAAATATGTATCTTTTAAAAAGGTACTGCCCCAGTGACAACTCCTGTACATTTATTTCTGAGAGTGTACAGCACATGTTTGGACAAACAAGGGGGAAACTTGAGCACCCGGAGGAAACCCATGCCAACACAAGGAGAACATGCAAACTCCATACAGATATGCCAACTGAACCAGCCGGGGCTCAAACCAGCGACCTTCTTGCTGAGAGGCGAAAGTTCTAACCACTAAGTCATTGTGCCACACCGTTTATTTTTTTTAATGTGATAAATTGCTTTTTAAAAATCTGATAAGAGATGGCTTTTGCTCCAAAAAATTGAGGAAGTCTCATAAATACCATACCTTAATCAACCTACCGATTTAAATTTATATTGTGAATTACCACCCAGCTTAAGCTTGAAATCATTTGTTTTGATTAGACTGATGTTTCAAAAAGTGAGGTTTATTTATAAACTAATTTCGAGAGGAACACGTGTTTATGATTGAACACAGCTGGTTATGCATCAGCCAAGTCATGATTCACCAATCAGAAGATTTGTTGGTCACTATAAATACCCTAAAGCTGCAGTCACACTAGAGTTTGTGTGTGCGAAATTCTGTTGTACGGTGCTGCGAAAAGGGGCGGGATTAAACAAGATGATTAGACATTAAAAAAGCGAGCGATTGCTTTGTTTAAAATTTCTGTTCAGAGATGTCATGTTTTGATCCTCGATTGGTATTGCGCAGTCAAGTGATGTGATTTCGCAGGTGAGAGTTCACCAAGCTTGAACTTTGCACTGCAGCCACCTGCGAAACCTGCGTATGAATGGAAGTCTATGGGGAGAAAAGGCAAGTGTGACCACAGCTTTAGTACCATGTAACAGCCATCTTCATTTTGAAGAATCCCTCCTTCCACCCCTGCTCCTCCTCCTTTCTTAGATGGGTGGCACGGTGGTCCAGTGGTTAGCACTGTTGCCTCACAGCAAGAACGTCACTGGTCCTTACTAAGCCAGCTGACGTTTCTGTGTGGACTTTACACATTCTCCCCGAGCTCATGTGGGTTTGCCCCGGGCCCCCCTGTTTCCTTTCACCGTCTAAAAACACACAACTTAAATCAATTGACTGAATCCAAATCGGCACCATAGATGTGCGTCTAGTAAAAAGTTATATCTTAAAAGCCATCCCATCTGTTCATTAGCTACAACAGCAGGGGAGTTCTCGAGATCTACCTGAGCTCAGACTCCCTTCTCACCCTGCAACTAGAGGGAGCCCTGGGCTTGAGGATCTTATGAGCTCAAGGCTCTCTCCCAGGACAGCACGCCAAACACGCTTTAATAATAAATCATCAGCTAAGTGTAAACTCTTGAAGATATATAAAATCTGAAGGCTTTTTCTTAGATTTTTAAGAGTTGAAACTAGGGCACTTATCATGTGCCATTTGACTCTTATTTTGTCACTTAGTTTTTTATATGTTGAGTTTGACCAAGTGCTGCTTTAACCGTTTGAAAGCACTAATATACCATAATCACAATTATTTACATCCAAAATAAAATTTCATATTCACAAAATATATAAGTGCGGATGTGTATTTTTGTGTATGTGCAATTGAGTTCAATCCATCTTTATTTCTATAGCGCTTTTACAATGTTGTGTCAAAGCAGCATAGAAATTCTAGTAAATTGAAGCTGTATCAGTCCAGTTTTCAGAGTTATAGTTCAGTTCAGTTCAGTGTGGTTTAATATTTACTGCTGAAAGTCCAAACACTGAAGAGCAAATCCATTGATGCACAGCTCTACAAGTCCCAACCAAGCAAACCAGTGGCGAGGAACAAAACTTCACCAACTGAAAGAAAGTGAAGGAAAAAAAACCTTAAGAAACTAGGCTCAGTTGGGCACAACTACTTCTCCTATATTGCGTAAAATGTTTGTTTCGTTATAATGTCTTAATAGAAATTATAAAAAAAATGTATATGTACATAATATAGTGCTTCAGTATATTTTTGTATTTTATGGACCGCGTATTTATACATGTATTCAAATATACACCGTACACAAGTATTCATTACTTTTAGTTTCTTTTCGGCATAGTCCCTTTATTAATCAGGGGTCGCCACAACGGAATAAACCGCCAACTTATGCAGCACGTGTTTTATGCAGAGGATGCCCTTTCAGCCGCAACCCAGCACTGGGAAACACCCTAAAACTCTTGCATACACTACGGCCAATTTAGCTTATTCAATTCACCTGCACCACATGTGTTTGGACTGTGGGAAAAACCGGATCACCAGGAGGAAACCCACGACAACACTGGGAGAACATGCAAACTCCTCACAGAAATACCAACTGTCCCAGTGGACAGAGGACAAGGTGATGCGCAACAATGTGTTTGGCTTGGAGAGTTATACTGAATGTGTATTATAACTGAGGCAAGTTGTCACAATGGGGATTAGTGAGATCAAAAATGTTTAGTTTTTTTTCTCCAATAAACTGGGGTTTATTTCACTGCAATATTAAATATTAGGCTATATTTATGTATGGGTATTTTTTTTTTTACGAATTATTCAGTAACACTTTAAAATAATAGTCTATTAGTTAATGTATTTACTAACATAAACAAACTATTAGTAATGCATTTATCACGGCATTTATTCATCTCTGTTAACGTTATTTAAGTGAAATAGCTTTAGTTCATATTAATACGAGGTGCTTGTAACTAATGTTAAAAAGCAGAACTTTGGATTTTAATAATGCATTAGGTAATGCTGAACTATGATTGATAAGTGCTTTACAAAATTATTCATATTCAGTTAATGTTAGTTCAAGAATGCCACTGGTTCGAGTCCCAGCTGAGTCAGTTGGCATTTCTGTGTGGAGTTTGCATGTTCTCCCTGTGTTGGTGTGGGTTTCCTCCGGGTGCTCTGGTTTTTCTCACAGTCCAAAGACATGTGCTATAGGAGAATTGGATAAACTAAATTGTCTGTAGTGTATGGCTGTTTCCTCGTATACTGGGTTGCAGCTGAAAGGGCAACCGCTGTGTAAAACGGATGTTGCATGAGTTGCCGGTTCATTCCGCTGTGGTGACCCCTGGTGAATAAATGGACTAAGCCGAAGGAAGACTAATGAATGCTTTTTCATGCATTAATAGTAAAATCTTATTTAAAGGGATAGACACGCATCTGTCATTTACTCAGACATTTGTTCCAAGCCTGTTTGAGTTTATTTTACTTTTTAGAGTTGAACACAAAAGAATATATTTTGAAAACTGGTAACCTTTGACCATCTATAGTAGGGAGAAAATTCTGAGGGTGTTGGTGTTGTAACCCAAAATATAAGGACAAATCCAACACTGGGTTAATTTTATCCGTTCAATTTAAAATTACACATTTACCACCCAGAGGCTGGCTTTGTTCATATTTGAACAAGTGTTGGTTTGCAACAACCCAGCATTGTTCAGAGGGTTACCAGTTTTCCAACATATTTCAAAATATCCTCTTTTGTGTTCAGAACAAAACACTAACTGCTTTGAGACACGTTAAGGGTGAGTAGCTATATGATGGCAGTTTTTTTTTGTCTTAAGTTGAACTATCTCTTTAACATCCTTACGTCAGCTGTCACATGATGTTTAATGCATGAATAATTTGCATATCAAATCTGACTTGTGGCTCAAAAACCGAGGGTTTATTTTAGTGACCTAATGCGAAGATGTTGTTTTTATGTATTCAGTGACTCATGCTTTAAGAAGAAATATTGCACTTGAATAAATCTGGACAGCATGACATCAGAGAGTAATTAAGCCCGTTTGCGTTGGAATTCCGTTTCCAATTCCTGTGCTCAGGTTTGCGCGAGCACCTGCAGGTGCGTGTGTGTGCGCTGTTTTCACTGGACAGCGTTCAAACTCTGGGAAAGAGAGCGAGGGAGAGCGCGCATTACGCCATCCTTCCCTCCTGGAAAAAGTGGGAATTTAAACAAGTCTCTCTGAAGATATCAAGCAGAACCGCTGGACTTCGGTGAAGGACGCTGCGCTTTCCTACTAGGATCTTGGATCTCCGCTTTTGGAGCTGGATCACTATGGTTCTGAAGAGCGGGACTCATGGCGATGTTTTGCGCATAATAATCGATCAGACGTTTCCAAAGCTTCATCTGTACCTCTCCAAACCCGCTCATGGTAGAGCTGTCCATTTCTCCATCACCGAAGCTCAGAGGAAGATCAGAGGATGAAAGTTCTGACTAGTCTCCCTCTTTTACTGGGCTTCTGGACTCTGCTGGACTTCATCGTCGCCGGTCACATGAGCACCGGAGCGGCCAAACTCAATCCGCGGTTCCCTGTGGCGCGCAACGGCACCCCCGATAACGCGAAGATCTCCCGCATCCGCGCCGGTCCTCCTCCGATAAAGGCTGACGGAAACCCTGCGCGCGTCAGTTTAGGGCGCAAGGAGGCCGCGCGCTCTTGGGTACCCAAGGATGCAGCAAACCTCGCATCCCCTTCAAGCATCCAGCACCACAGTAAAGCAGCTTCTACGCAGAAATCCTCCGCTCCGGCCGCCGTCCGTGCCGCTCCTGCCGGGATCAAGAGCATCGCTCCGGCTCCGTCCCATCTGCGGATGAAGAGCGCGGTGAAGCTGGAGAACAGCGAAGAGCCCAAACACCCGCTAGTGATCCCTCATGACTACATGCTGTCCCTGTACTGGTCCCTGACCAGCGGAGACGTCAATACCAGTGTCCTGCACGAGGCGGGGATGGCCAACACCATCACCAGCTTTGTGGACAGAGGACAAGGTGATGCACAACAATGTGTTTGACTTATAGAGTTATACTGAATGTGTATTATAACCGGGGCAAGTTGTCACAATGGGGATTCGTGAGGTCAAAAATGTTTTTTCTCCTATAAACCGGGGTTTATTTCACTGCAATATTAAATATTAGGCTACATTCATTTATGTATATATATTTTTAACGAATTACTTGGTAACACTTTAAAATAATAGTCTATTAGTTAATGTATCTAACATAAACAAACTATTAGTAATACATTTATCACAGCATTTATTTATCTCTGTTAACGTTATTTAAGTGAAATAGCTTTAGTTCATATTAATACGTGGTGCTTGTAACTAATGTTAAAAAGCATAACTTTGGATTTTAATAATGCATTAAGTAATGCTGAACTATGATTGATAAGTGCTTTACAAGATTATTCATATTCAGTTAATGTTAGTTAATTAGCTAATGAAACATTATTCTAAAGTGTTACCAATTATTTTTTATAACCATTTACTATAACTTACACATATGAACACTATCAAATGAATACTTCTTACGTTATGGGGAAGGATTTTTAATGCATTTATTGATTGATTGATTTATTTATTTAATCTCCAACAGTGTGACAGCATGCCCCACCGTTAGGGGACAGTATCGTTTTGTCCTCGAGAATGATGGTAAAAATGCTCAAATATCTGGCAGTTTTTAGGGGATGATTTTCATGTCTCCCCATAGGAAAAAAAATTAAAAATGGCTTTTAAGACAAACCACACTATAAAATATTAACTCAAGTAGAAAGTGTGATAGATAGCCCCAGTCTCAGATTCTATTACCAAAATCGCATTAAAGTTTATATTTTAGCTGTTGTTACTTGCCACGGTTTTAAGTATATGTATGTATGTATGTATATATATATATATATATATATATATATATATATATATATATATATATATATATATATATATATATACTTAAAACTGTGGCAAGTTACAACAGCTAAAATATAAACTTTAATGTATATAAACTTTTATATATATATAAACTTTAAATATAAAATATAAACTTTTATATATATATATATAAACTTTAATTTTATATATATATATATATATTTTTTTTTTTTTTTTTTTTTTAGCACTCTAAATAGCTGTAGGGACTGTAATAACTGATCGTGAGCATAAATATTTTTATCTAGTTTGACAAATGACCAGACCTCATCATAAACGTCTATGATGGCACAAAAAAAGTTAGAAGGAAATAGTTCGATTGAGTTATAGCCTGTCAAACTACAGGATGCTGCTGTCACTGCTTGAAATGTCACGTCAACTACCCATTTTGGAGTCTACTGCATTAACGTTAAATTGTCCTTTTCAGTTTATACAATAGAGTCAAAATAAGAAAACATCTTATTTCTGCTTAGCATTTCACTACCCATTAAATCTGCGCAAGCTTTTTTTTAATCCGGTTCTCTGACCAAAACCAACTGTGTCAATATGCATCTGGCACAGGACTTTTGATGGACCTCTGCTCAAAGTAAATAAACTCCTGGGCCGGTTACAAGTAGGTGGCCTCAATATGCTTTTATTTTTTTCTGAGTAAATCTTTTTAAAACGGCATTTAAGCAGTCTTGCTTTCTGTAACCGAGTCCTCAGAAGCTTTGAATGGTTTTAGTTTATGCCGTGTGAAATGCTCTATGCAGATTTATAGTTTCCACATCCTCTGTGGACACGGAGCAAAAATGCTTGGTTTTTCTCTCACCTGAAGGAAAATAATGAACATCTACTCATCCATATGTCATTTCAAACCTCTATTCATGAAGATAAAAGGGGATATTAGCTCTCCATTTACTTTTATTGAAAATAGTAACCTGTAACATTCTGCAAAACATCTCTTTGTGAAGAAAGAAAGTTATACATGTTTGGTTTAATGGGATTTTATTTTAGGAGAAAGTTTGGAAATCCATTGCACGTTATGTCCTTTTAGTGTAATTCACATCACCGCACACACACACACACGCACGCACGCACACACACACACACAGTTTTAATCAGCTGCACTCTCTCTGCCCTTCTCCGTGCACTTCAGATGGTCTTTTCAGCCCATGTTAGTGAAAGCCATATGTCACGGTGGTAGGCCCACTGGTAAATAGCTGCAGGTTGATAATAATGCTGTGTTTACAGTATGTTGTGGTCTCCAGACCAAGGTCGTCTGGTTTTAATAGTCTTTTGAAAGCAAACTGTTCTTGGATAAAATGAAACCTTTGATTTTTATAATGCACTGCCTTCATGTTGCATTGCATGCAGAGAGAGAGAGACACACACACACACACACACACACACACACACATAATCAGGATGTGAATCAGCTCTGATTGTGAAAAAGTTTAGCTGTAGTGCTTTAGAAAAGATCAAAGTGACAGATCATATTAGCATTTTAAAGATAAATCTCTTCAGTTACATCAAAGTTTGGTAATGGTATCAGATGGCAATACCGTCTAACTGAATCATTTCCATATTTATGCAATATGTTGTTCATTGTGCATGATACACTATAGCTATTCAAAAAATGTCTTTGGATTGCCATGATAAATGTCTAAAAGTTGATATTTACGTAATGCTTTTTTAAAAATCTGTGGCATTACCACCATAAAACACAGTATTAACCTGAAATCATGTGGAAAAAACATAGTATTACTATAGGTAATTGTATTATAATTGTGGGAAGTGTAATAGCATGAAGAAAAACACTTTACACTACCTTACAAAGGTTTTGTCGTTAATACCATTTCTAAGAGCAACAAATAATAACTTGGCTTCTAGTTGATCATTTGGAAAAGTGGCAAAAGGGAGATTTGAATCAGCTGTTGAACTGCATCCCAATCATATCTAATACTGCAGAAGAATGATTAAACCACTTGAAAAAGTGGCAGAAGGTCGATTTTTCAGATGAATCATATGTGAATCTGCATCCTAATCATCACAAATACTGCAAAAGACCTATTGGAACCCGCATGGATCACAAGATTCTCACAGATATCTCAAGTTTCTCAAGTGTAGTGAAGGAAAAATCATGGTTTGGGGCTACATTCAGTATGCAGGTGTGTGAGAGATCTGCAGAGTGGATGGCAACGTCAACAGCCTGAGGTATCAAGACATTTGTGCTCCCCATTACATTACAAACCACAGGAGAGGGCAAATTCTTCCGCCTCCTTCTCATACTTCAGCCTCCACATTAAAGTTCCTGAAAGCAAATAAGGTCACGGTGCTCCAGGATTGGCCAGCCCAGTCACCAGACATGAACATTATTGAGCATGTCTGGGGTAAGACGGAGGAGGAGGCATTAAAGATGAATCCAAAGAATCTTGATGAACTGTGGGAGTCCTGCAAGAACGCTTTCTTTGCCATTTCAGATGACTTATTAATAAAGTTATTAGAGTCATTTCAGAGATGTATGGATGCAGTCCTCCAAGCTCATGGGAGTCATACACAATATTAACTCTGTTTAAACCCCTCCATGACTTTATAGTCTATACTGGACATCATTTCTGTTAAGTGACAAAACTTTTGTCTAAGCAAAGTCAGACCTTACTGCCATAATTAAATAGTGAAAATCAAGCCATGATCATATTTTATTTTGGTGAAATAAGTGTAATCTAGAGGCTTTTGCCTTCCATATAAGCCACTTTGATACCAAATGATCAACTAGAAGTCAAGATATTATTTGCTGTTGCTAAAACCTGGATAGGCGACAAGACTAGATTACCATTGTAAGCATATTGACATGAAACCTGTATAAAACTCAATGGCATTATCATAGTAAATGTAAACAAGCCACAGTAAACACATCACATTATTGTGATATTATGTGCAAAAAAAGCATGATATCATTATGGTAAATCATGGTATTATTGTGTCCACAAACTAGGGCTAAAGTCTAAAACGTTAATATAATGCATGTGCAAAACTCCACACAATTATCATGATAATCTACAGTATTATCCTGACATCATATGAAAAACCTTGATATTACTATGGTAAATAATGGTATTATCATGATAAATATAAAATGGCATTGCGTCCAAAAAAAGGACCTGGTAAAAACATTGCACATACCTAAACAACAACAACAAAAAAATGTAGTTGCATATTTTAAGCCTTATAAGATGTGCAAAACACTGTATTACCATGGTAAAGTCAGAAAAACATAGTAACATGGTTATGGTGCATGTTCTGTAAAACATATATGTCAGCACTGTTTCAACTGAGCTTCTCTGTTGCAGATGAGCGTGCGCCCCTGCTGAGACGCCAGCGGTACGTCTTCAACATCAGCTCAATGGAGAAGGAGGGTCTGCTGGGTGCGGAGCTGCGGATCCTCCGAAAGAAGCACATGGACTCTCGAAAAGCCACTTTCTCTGAGGGCATGGCAGTTCTGAGACTCTTCACCTGCGCCTCAGGTAAAAACGCAGCCGTCCTGCTGCAGGCGAGACCTTTCGACTCTCACAGCGCCTCCTACTGGGAGGTGTTTGACATCTGGAAGGTGTTCAAGAACTTCAGAAACACTCCTCAGCTCTGCTTGGAGCTGGACGCCGTTGATCACGGCCGACCGCTTGACTTGAGGTTACTGGGATTGAGTCGGGCAGGACGGCAAACTAAGGAGAAAGCCTTCTTCGTGGTGTTCGGGCGCACAAAAAAGCGAGGGCTCTTTTACAATGAAATCAAAGCACGGTCCGGGCATGATAATAAGACCGTGTATGAGTATCTGTTCACTCAGAGGCGGATGCGTCGGGCACCGTTGCCGCGTGGGAAAAAACCAATCAAGAACCCCAAACAGAGATGCAACCGCAAGCAGTTGCACGTGAACTTCAAGGAAATGGGCTGGGATGACTGGATCATCGCTCCGCTGGAGTACGAGGCCTTTCACTGCGATGGCGTCTGTGACTTTCCCATCCGCTCCCATTTAGAACCGACCAATCACGCCATCATCCAGACTCTGATGAACTCTATGGACCCTAGATCCACGCCGCCGACCTGCTGCGTGCCCACCAGACTCAGCCCCATCAGCATTCTGTACATTGATTCAGCCAATAATGTGGTGTACAAGCAGTACGAGGACATGGTGGTGGAGAGCTGTGGCTGCAGGTAGCAAGACATGAACATTTACATTTTGGGGTTTTGTGACTTCCAGACTTTGTCACAACGTTTTAATAAGACTGCCAAAACTAAGAGTACGACTTTCATTTGTTGCAAACGTAGCCCAGGCATGCCCAAACTCGGTCCTGGAGGGCAAGTGTCCTGCATATTTTAGTTCCAACCCCAATTAAATATAGCTGAACCAGCAATTCAAGCTCTTTCTAGATATACTAGAAACTTCTAGACAGGTGTGTTGAAGTAAGTTGTAGCTAAACTCCCTCTAGGAACGAGTTTGGAGACCTCTGCTTCAGCATTTCAACATGGATGGTTGTGCACAATGCTGAATTTAACAGAGAATCTTTTAAATCCCATTTTAATTTTTTGAATTTGAATACAGGTCACAAACACAATGCAAAATAGTTATTTAAATGTGAAAATTAAGGAATTTTAGACACTTTTCCAGTATCGTGGTTAACAGTTCTAATGCTGGGTTCACACCAAACATGTATCTCTCACTCTAGTTTACTCGTGGGACTTTCATTAGGGTGTGGCTAATTCACATTCTCACTCGGTTCCATTCCGAACGGCTCATCTTTTCTCTTATACTTTGAAGTCTTTACCCTACGGAGTGAGAGTTTCAAAGGGATTAGGGTATTTCCCTTCCGAATGGAACACAATGTGCGACAGAGTGTCAGTAGCTATGTTTCCATCCACCTATTTTATGCACATTTTGCAAATGCGCATAAAAAATCAGTTAATGGAAACTCCATGATGCGCATAAATTTTGAAAATGCGCATAAAAATCTTATGCGCCTAACTGGGTAGGATAAACTTTTTTATTCGATAAGAAAAGCTACGCATAAACTACGATGGAAACACTTTTACCGCACAAACTCCAGCATGCGCATTAAAAAAGGTCGTGTGATTTTGTAAAAAGAGAACATGTGATGCTTAAAATGTGTGTGAATGGACAAAACGTCAGGCTGAGCACATTATAAAACATCTGAAATGTTGTTTTGATCATTATAAAACACCTTACCATTTCAGTATTAGTGTTATTATAATATTAATGACCTCCAGAATCTGAAGCGCCTGTGCTCGACGTCTGACACCTTCAAACGCCACTGCGCGCTCACTGCATGTCAGGATTGTCTTCTGAGGAACATTCATTTAGAAAAGATTGATGCAGCTTCTCCTACTGCAGCAAATGCAGTTTTTACTGTTGATATTTGGCGCCAGTTAATCAGGAAGTGACGATTTTGTTCGCTTTGACTCGTTGGATGGAAACGCTGCTTCATTCGCACAATTTTTATGCGATAATGCAGTTTTAAAATGCAGCAAAAAGTTCATTTGCATTTTTCGATGGAAACATAGCTAGTGTGTCCATCAGATGTTGCCTTCGAAATCTATCAATCCAAAGGGTTTAGAGTAGGGATGCAATGATTATAGATTTTGGTAGCACAATTATAGTCTGAGGAATTATCACGATTATTATGTATTTTTAATTTCAAAATTCTTCTAGTAAATCACATGAAAACTCCTTATATTTTTAAGTGTTTGTAATGTAGTTTACAGCCCTTTGGCCGCAGAGAAGAAGGAGGCCGAGAACCAACTAAGTTTTAAAATATTTATTCATAACAGGGTTATGTTTTTGGTTATGTCTGGGCCCGGTCCTCTCTTGGCCTCCTCTGCCATCGTTCCTCCTCTAATAGTCCAGAGCTCCTTCCGTGGGATTCGAGGCCTGTGCGACACAGGCGTATCCACTTGCGCGACGGCCTCATTCCGTTCCCACGGCTCTTGGCCCGCCCCCTCGCCACAGTGTTGTTTATTGCTGCTTAGTAACCAATTAATACGGCACAAAATCAAGTGATAAAAGATAATGAAAACATTTTTTTGGCATTTGAACATAAGTAATAATTTTAGACTAAAAATAAATGAAAGAACAATGTATAAATGAAAATAAATAAAATGTATTTGTCAAGTATTTCACTTTTAAAAAGAACAGTTGTAGTCAAAGGCTGCTGAACCTCTGTCTGAAAGGCACTTTTGATCTATATTACAAAATTGTTTGGTATTTTTCATAAGTTTTTTTTCCCTTTGGAGTAGAAATGTGTGTATTCAATACAAAGTATGAAGCTGATTGTTGCAGTTCTTGTCACGGTGCGTTCACGGCATTCTTTCAACTAGGGGTGCCTGGAAAGCATGCGTGAGCATGTTACGCTCTGTCAATTTGCGGATGCAAGCCACGCACATCCACTGAAAATAATATAAATAAAATAATGAACTTGCGCGCACATAAAACCCGATATGTGAATGGCCCTTAGTTCCTTAGATCCTTAGCCAATCCTGTGTGTGTGGGTTTTGGCCTCAGTGTACAATTTTGGAACTTTAAACTAGCGCACAGTTGGCATAACTCTGTTTAGTTGTTGCATTTTTGTTTGGTGCAGTAATACGGTGTTGAGAAGCCTTTTTGACGATTATTTAAACATGACAAATTAAATCACAGTTAATAGGGAAATTTGTTAATCGTTGCATCCCTAGTTTAGAGAAGTAGGCATGGGACAATAACTATCTTCAAGGTATATTGCGCTTTGGAAAAGTCAAGGTTTTAAAACCGGCAAGATTTTCTGCTATACCCTTCCTAAGGTATATGTAAGATTATTTTTTATTAACGTTTTTATTTTTTAGTTTATTCGGCCAGGGTGCCATTTAAACTAAAACCGCCACAGCTCCAGCAAGAAAAGATGCCATGACTTCCTTCTTTTGAGACCCTTCTTTTTACATTTTCACTGTAGCCAGTGCATAGCAATTTGTAGCTCCACCCTATTCTTAAAAAGTGTGCAATCTCATTTGAATTTAAAGCGACAGTCACCAAAACAGCACAATTTGACTCAAAGCCTAAAAGGGTCAATTTCGAAGAGATATAAAACCTTATCTGTGTATCTTTTTGAGCTTCACATACACACTCTAAAGACATCCGAGACATATGTATCTTGTAAAAAGGGGCGTAACACACCTCTCTTACACGTGTAAGCAGAGCGTAAAGGGTGTTTCATGCAGTACTCAACATAACATCCAACATCCATAGAAATCCAAAACAACTGCCTGTTACGAAGTCCTTTAAGCTTCTTTTGCAGCTTTGAATGCATACATTTACAATTATGCATATTTGAACGTGTGATGTGAAAGAGGTGTTCAGTTCACATGAATGATTAAGATCAAACATTGTTGCCTTTACATCATTTTACTTTGTTTACACAAACCTGTGTTGATGTGGTAAGAAAACCTGGTCAAATCTTAGATGTCTTCTTCAAAACTACCAAGTATTTTTTCTACTGATAAGTTAGTGTAGTGGAGGCCAGCTAGTAAGTGCTGTGCAGGTAAACCTCACTCCTCTGACCTCTAAAGCTGCTCTAGTGACAGATGCTAGAGGCCTCCTTTGTTAGAGCAACCGACTCCCATGCGGAAGGTCGCCGGTTCGATCCCAGCTCGGAGCGGGTTGGGTGGCGTAGGACTGGCGGGGTTACATTGGTACCGTGACCTGGATGGGAGTGAGCTTTAGGGGACTGAGTGTAACAGAGGCCAGCTAGCAAGTGCTGTGCAGGCAAAACCTCACTCCTCTGACCTCTAAAGGTGCTCTAGTGACAGACGCTAGAGCCCATGATCTTTAGCCTCCTTGTTAGAGCAACCAACTCCCATGCGGAAGGTTGCCGGTTTGATCCCAGTTGGGAGCGGGTTGGGTGGTGTAGGACTGGGTGGGGTTACATTGATGCCATGTCCTGGATTCGAGTGAGGTTTAGGGGGGTGAGTGTAACGGAGGCCAGCTAGTAAGTGCTGTGCAGGTAAGCCTCACTCCTCTGACCTCTAAAGGTGCTCTAGCGACTGACGCTGGAGGCCATGATCTTTAGCCTTCTTGGTAGAGCAACCAACTCCCATGCGGAAGGTCGCCAGTTCGATATCAGCTCTAAGCCGGTTGGGTGGTGTGGGACCTGCGTGGTTACAATTGGCATGTTAGCGGTGCTCAGTTTGCCCCTGCTGGTAGATGTCGAAACTACAACATCTGGCTGCTGCTATAACTACGGATTATCAGCGAATGCATTTAATTCCAAGCAACAATTCATTCACGAGTATTTTAATTACATAGTTCTAGCGTCTGATCTGGTGAAAGTACACCACTATTACCCAGAGCTGTCTTAACAGGCTTGTTTTTGTCCTTGCATTATTAGCTGCTCAACAGAAGCACATTTTGTTTCTTTTAAAGTGTTAAATGCTAAGTTGATATATAAGAATGTATTGTTTTTATCGAGATGTCATGTAGTTCAGTGCCAAGTAAATACTTTTGTTTTTATATTTGTGTCATAACTAAAGGGATTGATAGTTTTTTTTAACAATGCAGTCACTGTACAAGGTTACAACATGTAAGGCATATTGTGATGTCAACCATTTTACAACAATAAATGGTTTCAAGCTTTTTTGTACATATAGGAAAGGTCTATAAATACAAGTGAACATGGCATTTAAATAGAGTGAATTTAATTCAACTACAGCACCGACAGTTTACCTGTTCACACTTTTAGATTTTTTTATTTTTTAAGATTTGACAGTATTAGCTGATAGCATCAGATGTTAATAATTTGTCGAAACTATTTTGGCACTTCTTGCAGCAAAACAAGTTCAGCTTTATTTATGTCCCGATACTGTCCTGTCATCAACAAAGTTAAACATTTTCTATGCAATGCATTGCCAATCCCTGAAAGAACTGAATGGTTGATTTGTTTTTGTTTTTCAGTAACCATACCTTTTATAGCAAAATGCCTGGATATTTATAATGTAAAGTGTGAAACATTTTCACTAATAAAGTATACAGACCTCTAAAATTCAGTCTGATTTTATGTGATTGATGCATTTGAATACAAATATTTCCCAAGTTCTTTTTAACAGAGCAAGGAGTTTTACACAATATTTCCTAATAAACTAATAAAAATACAGTGGGTACGGAAAGTATTCAGACCCCCTCAAATGTTTCACTCTTTGTTATATTGCAGACATTTGCTAAAATCATTTGTTCATTATTTCCCCTCATTAATGTACACACAGCACCCCATATTGATAGAAGAACACCAGAATTGTTGGTATTTCACTCAGGTGCTATCCATTTTATCCATTTGACAACCATCTATGAGATGGTTCTACACCTTCATTTGAGTCCAGCTGTGTTTGATTATACTGATTGAACTTGATTAGAAAAGCTTCACACCTGTCTATATAAGACCTTACAGCTCACATGCATGTCAGAGCAAATGAGAATCGTGTGGACAAAGGAACTGAACGAAGAGCTCAGAGACAGAATTGTGGCTTGGCACAGATTTGGAAAGGGTTACAAACATTTTTTTGCTGCACTTGTAGCCTCCGTAATTCTTAAATGGAAGACATTTGGGAAGACCAATACCCTTCCTAGAGCTGGCAGTCCAGCCAAACTAAGCTGTCAGGGGAGAAGAGCCTTGGTGAGAGATGAAAGAAGAACCCAGAGATGCGGTCGGGAGATGGCAGAAAGTTGTAGAAGGTCAATCACCACTGCAACCCTCCACCAGTCGGGGCTTTATGGCAGAGTGAACCAACACATGAAAGCCTGCATGGCTTATTGCTAAAAAAACACCTGAAAGACACCAATATGGCGAGAGATAAGATTCTCTTGTCTGATGAGACCAAGATAGAAATTTCTGGTCATAATTCTAAGTGATGTGTGTGGAGAACACTACTGTGGGGGTGTTTTTCAGCTGCAGGAACAGGACGACTGCTTGCAATTGAGGAAAAGATGAATGCGGCCAAGTACAGGGATATCCTTG